CCTCCTTTAATCTGTTCGCCAGGACTTTCAAAATAATCTTATACACCCCACAGATTAGGCTAATAGGGCGAAAGTCCTTAATGTCGGTCGCTCCCGATTTCTTAGGGATCAGCACAACAAATGAAGCATTAGAACTTTTCTGGAACCTACCACGTTCAAAAAAATATGTAAACACATCCAAAATTTCCCGTCGCACCACCTCCCAACAACCCTTGTAAAATGAGAACGAGAAACCGTCCGGTCCAGGGGCCTTATCCTCGTTCATGCTAAACACTACATCCTTGATTTCATCCTCCTCAAAAGATCGCCCTAACCACCCGGCATCCTCCGTGATAGTAGAAAAATCCAATCCTTCCAACTCTGGCCTCCACTCAAACTGCTCCTGATATAGATTCTGATAGAAATTCACCAATTGGCTTCCAATTTCGATTGGTTCTTCATAAGTTATCCCATCCACTTCCAACACTGTTATCGAGTTTTTGCGCCTATTAGAATTAGCGATCCTGTGAAAAAACTTAGTACATTTATCTCCTTCTTTCAACCAATTGACCCTAGATTTCTGACGCCAAGCAATCTCCTCCATCTTCACCAACCTCTCCAATTCTTCCCTTAATGCTCTACGTTTCTCCTTCTCCTCCCCAGCCAACCTTCGACTCTCCTCCCACCTATCCAACTCATCAATCTCGGAAAGACACTGAATTTTACGACAGTTTACATTGCCCACAACCTCCTCATTCCATTTCTTTAAATCTCTTTTCAAAGACTTCAACTTCTGATCCAACACAAAACTAGGAGACCCCCTGACATCGTAAGATGTCCACCAAGTCTGTACTTGCTCCCTAAAACCTTCAACTTTCAACCACATTTTCTCGAACCTAAAAGGCCTTCGTCCTCCACCCGTCCTGTTCTCAGTTAACTTAATGGGGAAATGATCAAGTACACCCTCCTCAATCTTCTTTGAATGACATCTGAATACTTAGCCTCCCACTCTCCGCATATCAAGAATTTGTCAATACGAGAAAGAGCAGGTTGATCCCGATTGGATGACCAGGTAAAATCTCCTCCAATCATAGGCAAATCCACCAACATATTCTCCCTTATAAAGTCTGAAAAATCCTCCATAGCCCTCGTGAGTCTCCCACCGTTCGACCTCTCAATAGGAAATCGAACCACATTAAAGTCACCTCCTATACACGTTGGTAGATTCCACCAAGCCATCATTCCAGCCAGTTCATCCCACAAGCCCCGTCTACTATCATCAGTATTAGGCCTATAAACACCTATAAACATCCACTGAAATCCATCCCCAATGTTTCTGAACGACATCGAAATTGAGAACAATCCAACACTCACCTCCTCCATCTCAAGCACTCTGGTGTCCCACATGACTAATATGCCTCCAGAAACCCCTGATGATCCCATAAACCGATACCCTACATGCTGTCCCCCCCATAAGCTACTAACCATCGCCCTCGAGATGACCTCCATCTTGGTTTCTTGTAAGCATACAAGATTCGCTCTCCAGCCCCTTAGCGGATGTCGAATACCCATCCTTTTTCCAACTTCATTAAGTCCCCTTACATTCCAGTTAATGATTTGTGGTATCATTTCAACAGTCCAGCATCCCTCCCCAGTACTCCATTCTTGGATTCACAACCCTTGCCATCATAATTAACTGACCATTCGAGCCTCTTAAGTTCACGATCGCCCTTTCTTCTTAATTTACCTTCTTGTTTACTCATCTTCTGTCCCCTATTGGCCTCCAAATCCTCAAACAATTTTAGTAATCTGTTTTCGTATCCATCACAAGACACGCCCATTAACTTACTGAAATCCTGAATTTTCTGTAGAACCCAGTTCGAAGGTGGGTGCCCAGCTTCGAATCCAAACAATTCCCCTGTTTCCTCCACCTGTATAACATCACTTTCTATTTCTCCTTTCTTGGCTCCATCTATCCACAACACCAGTGCTTTTTCCGTCCCCAAGTCACTTACCTTCATTGACTTAGAGTTCCTTCTATTATATGTGTTCGCAACCCTTGTTGTCAAAGGTGTCGCGTCGTGCTCTATCACCCCTGATAGTACATGCCTCGTCCCTTGGTCGCCTAGTAAAAGCCCATCATCGTGTGGGACTGTGTCCATTGCACTCATCGTTACTGTCTCCAAGTTCACCATACTCGGCTCTCCTTCTTTAGACAAAGGTACCACCTCTCGGTCTACATCGGTCCCCGCGTCGACCTCAACCATATACAACCCCTCTAAGACATCACCTTTGTCATATTTGGATTGTCCCTCGTCCGTTTCAATCCGATCAATAGACTCGCAAGTGATTTCTAGTCTCCCCTGCTTTACTTCATTATATGTCGATTCCTTCTTATTCAATCTCGATGCTTGTTTTCCAACAGCTGGATACTCATCCATACCT